ATCAGCAGGACCAAGGTTGGCACAAGGAGGTGGCATCTTGGGCAGTCACCAGAAGACTAGGCATAGTGTTGCCATAACATCTGTTCTTTCCTTTGTTTGTTTGTTTTGTACTTCTTTTGTTTCTACCATCTCTGCTCTGGGCCTGAGCCCTCACCATCCCTTGTACCTGCATTGACCTCACTCTCATGTAACTAAATCTTTGCATTACCAGAGGAGCTACTGCTCCTCTCGTCTTCCATAGTCTTAGACTCAGATAGGACGTTAAACCAATCAATCAATCAATCAATCAGTCATCCTGACATGGGCTGGTCCCCTCTCACAACAAGACCTGCAGCAGCAGAACAGCAACTCTATAGAATTAATATGTATGTCAAAATATTGTCGAGTAGGCCTATAGAACACTCCACCATAAGATCGTGCGATAATAATCATTGTGTGTGGCTCTACACCTTCATCTTTGTGTGGCTGGTTTGGGTGCCTTGCGTGCAGAACGCTATGGCGTGCAGCACGGGCACGGGCACGGTAATGAGATGGTCAAGAACACAATCATATCGCTAGTCCCGTAGGGCGATACCTCACACACAGGCAAACATTCAACTGTTGACATCCGTATATAATGCTTTGATATTCAGTCCTGTTAAACCCACTTCTCGATGTGTGCCTAGCACGTGAACACAGCCGGTCCAGGAGCCGTGTACGCCTTCTGTCCATTGTAGAGGTTGTACGTGATGCCTGGGTCGGATCCCTTGTATGCGCCCGGAAGGCTGACCGTAGCAGGTGTCTTGCTCGCACTGCCGGCGACAATGTTGATTTGGGCGCACTCCATGTAGAACTGCGCACCAGGGTAGCTGCCAGCAGAGTGCAGAGCAATCAACTCACCACGGAGCAGGTACTGACCCGGTGCGATACAGGCGGGGATCGTGATGGTCTGCTTGCCTTGGTTGGTGATGAGGCGATCGACACCCCACTTTGTGCCGTCAAACGAGTCTTCTGCAATCTGGACTGATCGTCAGTCTCAAATGGCCAAGGCCTCAAAGATCCATTTCGAACGTACCTTGAACCATCCGTTCCCAACCCCAGAATCAGTCTTCGCGTCTGACACCTTTTTCAGGTATGCCATCACAGGACCCTTGTGGCTTGAGTCAATGACATCGCTCGGTCCGGAAGTCAAGGTGTGGCGCCATGTCAGGGTTGCTGAAGAGCCGGCCTGGATGGTGATGACTGTGTTGGTCGGCGTGGTCGGGTTGGGACCACCGTTGCAGACGATATCGTTGGAGGTCACATCCGTAATCGGCTGCAGTTCGTTAGTTAAGATGGCCCGTGACGGTATGGACGGGGAAGAGACAGGGACATACGCCATCGTACGAGGGGACACGAACACCGTCGCCCACGGCGCCGTTATTCAAGGAGACGAAGATGGTGTGGGCAGTTGCCGAGGATGCCGCTGCGGCAGCAATGAGAGGTGTGGATAGCTTCATCTTGACTTTGGCTGGGTTTAGTGCTTGTCTGTATGCTTGTCGGGTGCTTGTCTCGATGCCGGTGAGCAGATTCAAGCAGATTTCCTACGAGTTATATAGTCCCAGACCACCGGCTGTAGTCAATCCTCAGGCCCGTGACCAAGGCCATCAAGACCACCAAGCACTCGATGGCAATAAGGAAACACTAGCCATAGAGCTTCGGCCAGGCAGCTGCACCCCAGATCGGTACTGCAAACCCGCCAAGCGTCAAACATCGACATTTCGACTGGATGTTCCAAATACCCTATTCCACAAAAGCTACGGATTCTGTCAGCCGCATAGGTTGAGCAATCTAGGAGAGACATCGAATGCTACTTCCGGTTAAGCGAGGCCAATGACTGGGTACCAAGTAGATTGCCGCGCTAGGAACGTCGGGAGCAAAGTCACTCTCGATATGAAGGCTGCGATTTGATGACTTGGCCGAGTGCTTCTTCAAAGACTCAGGGCGAATGTTGCTAGAGGATTGAAACAGACCAAGTGTGCAATGCACGAGTTATCCTTATGCATCATTGATATCCTGGCCCTGATGCACAAGCCGATCAGTTGCAGGAAAGCTGTAACCATTTGCAGTCAAAGTTGTCTTGCAGACCGTCATCTCTCTTTGGCTGGCAAACCGCTTGTAGCCACGAGATCAGAGCTTTCCTTCAGTGATGAGGCGACCGACAAGGAGTTGCATGTTTGTTGCGGCTTATACTCATAATGATCTACCAGGAATATAGATCCAACATGCCTTTGGCAAATAAGCGCAATGGGAAAGAAAAGAGAAGAGAGCGTCTGGTTTACAGATTGAAGCTGATTGCCCTGTTGCACGAATCGCTTTACGTTATACTATAAGCATTGAAGAAATGTGCTGACCACCTGATGTTTGGTACTATTATGTCACTGAAGTATATATAGCATTACTTGTACACCATTTCAGTGCATTTCCTTCATCTCAAAGCACTTTCGTTCATAAGTAGGACTGAGGTCGGTTGTCAGAATCACAATTACATGGCTCTATAAAATAACTTTGTGCGAGAATCAATGACGGGTGCTGTACAGCTTACCCTTCGCCCCAGCCGAGGTGGCACAGGAATTTTGAAAACGATTATAAGAGGTTCAACGCGGATGGAACACAAGTACAAGATTGATTGGTATGTCAGATGTGATAAATACTCTGATGACCTGAGACTTCAGGGGTTGATTTTTTTTATCAGGTCAGCTGGAGTGGTTCACGATCCTTCGCTCACAACCTTCCTTTCGACATGCCACTGTATTCATCAGTTCAACCCACAACACACTTAACGGCTTCACTCACCATCTTGAAAGGCGCACTCCAGCTCATCAAGATCGGAATGCACTCTTTAAAGACCTCCGTCTGGAGCGACTCCTCAAACCTCTCCATCGCCGTCCACCCTCTCACCACCAGGAAACTCCTCATCCCATCTTGCTCCTCCACCCACCCCGTTGCCAGACCGACTTCCCCTGTCTCTTTAATGGTCCCCCTCTTCCGATAGATAGTCTCAAATCTAGCAAAATCATCCTCGATGTTCCTCTCGAAATCGGGCGTCACGTCCTTGGCTAGGAAGTCAGATTTGACGTACTCCACGATTGGAGCTGCGCCATTTGCGAAAGGGGACTTATCGAGGGTGGTCAATATGGTGGTGAGTGTAGATGAAGTAGCGCTGCGTATAGCGTCCGTGAAGGATACGAACGCTGGTGATGTTGTCAGGTCGGTGGGGCAGCGGATGGAGGGCCACTCAGAGGTAATTTGGATGGTGTTTGGCTCCTGAACTTTTGAGCCGATGACGAAACGGGTTGTTCCATCAGAAGCCTTGAGGGTTTGGTTTAGCGTTTCGACGGTGGTGTCCGTAGCAGCGAAAGCAGTGAAGGAGATAATTGCGATCACAGCCATACTTATGCACGATAACGTTTAATGTTGATCGAGTTGAGATTTAGTATGTATAGGCTCTCAACTGAGAGGCCCAACATCATATCTAGAGATGGCTGTTGGTAAGGCACCCCACGGACTCCACGGACTCCATGTGCTGACATATAGCACGTGCTTTGTAATTATGAAGGATCAAAATACCGATACCGATATGCTTGGCGCTAACTTCCCTCTTGCTTATTCACCCCACTTTCGTGCAACGCTTCCACATCCGGCCATACTACAGTTTCTCTGCTCTTTCTCGTTGGCCTGCACTGCTTCCTTACCATCAGGACAATCCTTGGCGATACTTCCAGTGTTGCTAATCTTCACTCTTTCCGCAACATTCTCGAGATCGCTGTCAAGAGGCAGACCTTCCACGTGGTTCTTGAGTGATACGCTATCGAGTCTCATGTCTTCATTGTGCTCTGGCTCTCGCGAAAGTCCAGGTATGTAGACGGGCTCTGGATCGTTAAGAGGGCGCTGTTTGATCCTAGATTCGTAGAATGCTGCGAGAGGGTTGGTGTCGATCGCAGCATCGCCTTCTGCCGTGCTATATCCGTCCAGATCTATGTCTTTCGCGTTTGGGGTTTCTGCTTGCAGATGCTTTGAGCCCAGATCATCTTCATCTTCATCGTACCAGAAATCATCATCCGAATCCTCATCGTCTGAAATCTCATAAAACTCATAGTCCGAATCACTCTCATGATCAAGCGTAAGATCTTCGGGAGTGTCTGTTCGCGGCTTGCAACGAAGGAGGCGATGGGGATTGCATCATTCGTACCCTTCGCGACAGGTATGTTTACCAGGCTGATAAGCAGACGAGAGTCTACAAAATTGTTTGCGTTTTCGATATCCGTAGTCTACAGCGCTGTTCGCGAAAGAAACTCGTTTCCGTAGGGCTTGCGGAACGAGTAAGGAAGCTCTCGGTGGCGACGATGTGATGGTGTTTGGGGAGGACGAACGATACTGATCCGCCGAAATTGGTATAGAACTTCTGGTCAGCAAAGATGACTTGCATGGAGCGTCTGCAGCGTCAGTGGCAAGCGGGAGGTTGCCCGCGTATCTGCCGCTAAAAGAGTGATATCCGTGACCTGTGGGGATCGAAGGAGGCGGCGTCATCGTTCGGCTGCGGTATCTTAGAGTGACTTACAGTCGTCAACACGATGCTAGAGAATATCTATTCTGTACGTCGCTGCACACGGGTGAATTAAATCGGTGAGATCTGGCATTCCTCTTGGTGTTTGGTGTGAACTTGTCGTGCCAGCCTGCAGCCATATTGGCGCACTTGTGCGCTTCCTTCAGCACGTCGCTGCAACGAATTGGACCTGCGACTGCTTGTGTGATACACCGGCCTTTGTCGAGCTCGTCAAACTCCCACCTGGTCTCTTGCGCTGCTCCGGTCTCGATTGTATTAAGCATGTTTCTCCACTGCTTTTTCTGATAGTACCAGATGTTCCTAAAGGGTTCCCAAATGCGTTGAGCGCTCTTACGGTTGAAGAGTTGCCAAGCTGCGTCGATGCGCCCAAGAGCGTTGGTGTTGTGATGAAGCAAGCAAGATGGACACACCTTGAAACTTTCAAGCTTGTTTCCGGGATGTAATCGGTGGCCGCAGAGTAATGTTGAGGGATTTGGTAATTTTGATCGTTCGCTCGAGGAGACGCCTGTTCCAGTTTGCAGCATGGAACATATGAAATGCTGGTAGTGATATAGCGTAGGAAGAACTCCGACGATATCACTGCCCCTATTCACATATACTTCCACTCGAAGATCTGCAGGACCGAGGAATATCGCGCCACCGAGGCCGATGATATAGGATTGCCAGCCGACGTAGTGCTGGTACAGCATTGGACCGAGGAGGGCTGCGCCGCATGACGTGTGTACAGGATTTTTCCTGACCCCTGGGAAGGGGCTGTCGCAGGACCGGTCCTAGGGACGCCCAGCGTTGGGTCAGCCGCCATGGTTCAGCAACGAGGTTGACAGCTGCAGGTAGGTCTTGCTTTAGCGGTTCCTGGTCTGCCAAATAAACGTATCCCAACGTTAAGCGCAAAATTTGCTGCAACGGACGATGTGATTGCCTCTAAGGGCGCACTGGGTGGTGTTGCGATGCCGACGATGGGATTAATGCATGCTGTGCAGTAAGAATGAGCGAAAAGTGAGTGTTGAAAGTTGGATATGTGGAAGACGGAGGTGGCTTAGATAAGTTCACAGAACCCTTGGGTACGCTTGGTAAGTACCACCAGATGTTGCGCGGCCATCAGAACCCTGCCTGCACTTACGAATGTAGATTCCCCTCCACCCCCCTTACAAGCAGAAGGCCCACGGGCTGAAAGTGGTATCTTGCAATTCTCGTTGCTACATCATCTTGCATCTACTGTCCTTGCAGAGGCTGCCCGTTCCCGCCTATCGTAATCGTCTTCGTTGTCACATACTCTTCGATACCCAGCATACTGCCCTCACGGCCGAAACCGGATTCCTTGACACCACCAAAGGGCGCTGCAGGGTCTGAAATCAGCCCCGTGTTCACACCGACCATGCCGACCTCTAGGGCCTCAGCGACCCTGTAGACCCTTTGAATGTCCCTGCTGAAGAAATATCCCGCAAGACCAACATCCGCTGCGTTTGCCAATTCGACAACATCGGCTTCGGTGTCGAACTTGAACAGACCTGCGACAGGACCAAACGTCTCCTCATGTGCGAGCTGCATGTCGGCGGTCATGTCGCGAATGACTGTGGGCTGGTAGAAAGAGCTGCCCAGGTCCGGGAGTTTCTGTCCGCCAATGAGGACCTTGCCGCCATTCTTAACAGCATCTTGGACATGGTCGTCAACCTTCTTCGCCGCGCGATCGTGGATGACGGGGCCGTGAGTTACACCCTCAGTGAAACCTGCACCGACCTTGAAGCCCTTGACCTTCTCGGTAAACTTCTCGGCGAACTGGTCGTAAATACCGGACTGGATGTAGATTCTGTTGGCGCACACGCAAGTCTGGCCTGAGGAGCGGAACTTGGAGGCAATGGCTCCAGCTACGGCCGTCTCGACGTCGGCGTCGTCGAAGACAATGAAAGGCGCGTTACCGCCGAGCTCAAAGGACAGCTTCTTGAGAGTCGATGAAGACTGCTTCATCAAGAGCTTTCCTACACCAGTAGAGCCTGTGAAGGAGACCTTCTTGACTGTCTTGCTTGTTGTAATGGTCTCGCCAACTTCAGGTGTGTTCTCCAGAGCTGTGACGAAGTTGACAACACCCTTAGGGATACCTGCACGGTGTGCTAGCTCAGCCAGAGCTGCTGCTGTGAACGGTGTCTCGCCAGGAGACTTTGCAACGACGGTGCAGCCAGCCGCCAGAGCGGGGCCAATCTTGCGGGTGATCATAGCAGCAGGAAAGTTCCACGGCGTGATCAGTCCGCAGACACCCACCGGCTCCTTGACTGTGAACACCCTGTTTGTGGCAGTGCTCGAGGGGATCGTGTTACCGTATACCCTCGGTGCCTCCTCAGAGAACCACTCGAAGAAGCTCGCCGCATACGAGACCTCGCCCTTCGCGTCGGCCAACGGTTTTCCGTTCTCCCATGTGATAAGCGTCGCAAGGTCGTCGGCATTCTCGGTCATCAGCTGGTACCACTTTCGCAAAAGTCGTGATCGCTCGCGGCCGGTCAACTTGCGGAACGAGGGCAGAGCAGCTGCAGCGGCAGCAATGGCGGCCTCAGTGTCGGCGCGGTCCATCTCAGGCTGGGTGCCGATAAGCTCTCCGGTCGCTGGGTCGTGGATCTCGAAGGTCTTGCCGGATTTGGCGTCTATCCATTCGCCGTTGACATACGTTTGACTTTTGAGGAGCGACGGGTCCTTGAGCTGCGGAGTCGTCAGCGCTGGTCTCGTTGCTGTTGTCCAGACGGAGATGAGACGAAATATAGAGGACATACGGCAGGCACATTGTGACCCATCTTGCTCGAGTACCCTCTTGATACGATAGCGGGCAGAGTGTGTCGCTGGAAGCTGCTTCTGCAGGTTGTCTGCTGGCGCGCAATGGATCGTGTAGCTGCTGCGAAGGAGCGCATTGTGGTGTGGATAGCGGAGTCAATTGCTCAATGACAGAGGGAGAGATTGTTAGATAGCCTCGGTTCGTTGACGAGCACGTCAACCTCTCGTCAGCTCGTCGAACGGCTTCGGAGTGCGGATAGAGCTGGAAATAAGGCGTTCGGTGACGTAGGGCGGCAGGTGAAGCTATGGCCAATTGCCCGTGGGGTGCTCAATTTCCACGAAGTCTGCGACACAACAACAGAACAATATAAAGGCAAAGGAAGTTGCGGGCTCGCCGAAGCTTTGAGTGTCCAGCTCTGAATGTTTGCGCCGGCGCACGGAATTACGGGTGGATTGCACAACATGCAGCACGTCTGTAGCGCGTTTGGAGCGTCAGCAGCGTCTATCGCAGCATCGTGAGTCGCAAAGATCTGAACGTTGATAGAAAGAAAACTCGATCAACTTTGTACGTAAAGGGTATGGCTAGGTCGTTGCAAGGAGAGATATCATGGTGCAAAGAAAAACAATCAAGACCCTGCAACAACACCCATCCACCACGCCCATCCGCCCTTCGACCTGTAGAAGTCGGTGGCATATCGAGACGTTGACCTGTTTGCTGATCAGCGTTCAGCTATGCGCAAGGCTCTCCAATAACCTACCCAGCTATCCTCTCTGCGTCTTTGGCCTTGTGCCATTCCTTCCATCTCTCCTCTTCACTCAAGGTACCGTCCCGCCACTTCTCCTTGCCAGGGACCAAAGGCTCGCGTCGTGCGCGAAGTTTCTCGCGCCATGACACTTTCTTGACCGTGCTTTTTTCCGTGGTTGCAGGTAGGGAGAAGCTGCGGGTCAACTTTCGAGCCTCAGGCTTTTCAGCCAGAGAGGTGGTGGATGTTGTGGCTGTCGGTGGACTCATCGTGAATATCGGGATGTAAAGCAGGTGGCTTTCGCAATTTGCAGATACATCACATCAGGGGAATCAGGCTGTCTTTACGTTCAGATTAGAACATCTGATCAAGCGCATAACCTTGTGGCTTACAGCCTGTACCGAAGTGTAGAGTTCATGCACAGCCGATGCCGACTTCAGACCACGCGAGGCTTAGACCGGGCGTAAGGTGGCCAAGACGACACTCGACAGGCAACACCCATAGTATTGGTGGGAACGTGGACATATACTCGATGCCTTGTTTGAATTTTTTTTCATTTTGTATATCTGCGCAGCACTACTCCGCAAGGCCTACATCATCGATGTTCTTCCTGACGAATTTCGACGCCTCTTCAAGACCCTTTTGTATGACGTCCGTCTGGTTCACGAACCCAACCCTCACGTAGCCCTTGAACTCCTCACCAAAGCTTTGTGAGCCAGGTACGAATAACACACCCGTCTTCTCGAGCAGCTTCTTGCAAAAGTCCACTGAATCCACCGGCTTGCCGTCTCTGTGGAACTTGATGAACGCTGTGGTTCCAGCTACGGGCTTGACCCACTCGCACTCATCCTCGTTCTTGATCACAAACTTCTCAAGAAGCGCTAGATTCGTTTTTGCAAGCTGAATGTTGCGAGCTAGCAGACCGTGTACAGTGGCTGGGCTGAGGGCATATGCTGCCACCTGTTCGTCGAGTCCAGACACGGAAATCGTTGTGTAGTGCCGTGCTGAGGCGATCTTCTCAATAATCTCGGAGTTGCGTGATGCGATCCAACCTACGCGAATACCAGCCAGCGAGTATGCTTTGGACATGGAGCCTGTTACAATGACGTTCTTATAGCCCATAGAAAGTAGTGACGGAGGGAAGTCCTTGTCGATTGGGCTGATAGAGTGGAAGATAGGTCGGTAGACTTCGTCGCCGAGGATGGTAATTTCTTTCTCCTTGGCAACTTCCACAAGTTGCTCGAGGAAGGTCTTACCCAGAACGGCTCCAGTGGGGTTGTTGGGATTATTTATGACGATCAGCTTTGTGTTGGGCTTGATGAGTGACTTGAGTTCTTCCAAGTCTGGTATCCAGCTCTTTTCTGGCTGAGCCTTCCAGAGATCGACCTCTGCACCCAGCGACTTCGGTACATCGTACAACGACTGGTAGGTGGGGAATTGGCAGATGACATGATCGCCTTCGCCAACCAGGGAGTACGCGGTCAGGTAGTTCGCCTGAATAGCACCAGGAGTAGTGAGGATGTTGTCCGGGCTGAGAGGTGAAGTGACCTTGGCTGAGTATAGTCGAGCCAGGTTGTTCCTCAGGTCTTCGGCGCCTCGGATAGCGCCATAAGTGAGTACTCGATCTGTCTTCAAGACCTCTGTTGTCTTGTCCTCGGACAATTCGCGCAGCTGATCGATCGAGACGGAGGCGCAGCATGTTTCTGCAATGTTGTATTTGCAGTGATGCTCATAGGCGTCCATCCACTGTGCATGATCGTTAGCCTGACTTGTCATCGAGGGTAAATGCGGGGGACGTACAGACTCAACTGCGAACTCTGTGATCTTGACCATGGTGAATATTGATGCGATGGAAGAAGTATGGAAGCGACGATACTCGAGACCTTGAGAGACGAGTTTCTTCTCTCCGTTCGTGCAGCCGGCCAGATCATATAATGACTTCGAGTGGCATAGGGCGCATATGGTGGAGCGAACGTACCTTGCGCTAATGTCGGTAGCAGGTTGAGTCAGGCCCGCGGAGCTTCTCCAGATGATCGCGTGCCTCTAAACGATGCATCTTCGCAAAAAATCGCCCACTCGATTGACAGTGTTCTGAACGAGCGCAGTGCGATCGTCAAGTACCTCTATGAGCCCCTGCAGGTGCCACAACACTCGATTGATGATGAAGCGCGAGCTATCCCGGTTGCGCTTGCCTCGGTTGCTAGTTCATCTTCCCGCGCGCCCAGCCTCCAAGGTGCACGGTGCTAGCAAGCGTCATTCGAGGACGATAGCACAGCCGTCACCTGCGTCTGGCCACCTTTGACTGTCCCTTCACCCTTTGCGTCTGCACTTCTGTGGATTTTTAGGCTCTTGCGCTGTTCACTGTCGTCCCTTCCATCTGAAAGCACAGCGTCTTGAGGACTGCTTGACGCTATCAACGATACAGAGCTCGGCACAAGCTCGAGTGGAGCTATCAGGCCGCCGCGCCACTTGCATACACGATGCGCCCAACACCATGGATGACCTCGCTGGTGACTCTGCTGAGTCTGGCGGGGCCATCTATGGCATACAAGACCTACGCGAATTACTCCGTTGCTGAAGCGCCCGATTCACTCTTCTCCATCTACGGCGACCGTCCTGATGGTTGCCCGCCATGCTTCAACTGCAATCTTGAGGACTTCAAGTGCCAGCAGTTCGCTGAATGCAGCAAGGCCAACGGGCGCTGTAGCTGCCCGCCTGGATTCGGAGGAGAAGACTGTTCGGAGCCGCTGTGCGGCTCTCTACCCAAAGGCAAAGATAGGTCACCGAGAGGAAGCGAGAAGGAATGCCAATGTGATGATGGTTGGGCTGGCATCAACTGCAACGTGTGTCAAACGAACGACGCTTGTAATGCCATGATGCCTGAAGGCGAAGGTGGCGTCTGCTACAAGGATGGACAACTGGTCAAGGAGAACTTCCAGATCTGCGACATTACCAACAAGAAGATCTTGGATCAATTGAAGGAGAAGAAGCCACAAGCCACCTTCTCATGTAACGCTGAGACGGAAGAATGTAATTTCCAATGTAAGCTCACGGTCACCCCAGTGTGACTATCACCAAGCTAATGACTGTAGTCTGGGTTGACCAGCGAGAATCTTTCTACTGCGCTCTCGATACATGTTCCTCCGACTGGACAGCCGAGTCCGACCGTAACACTACCCGATATCGATGCGAGAACATTGAGTGTGCTTGCGTACCGGACAGGATGCTTTGCGGAGAGGCTGGCTCTATTGACATTGGGGACTTCTTGAAGGAATCGATTCGAGGCCCCGCGGAGTTCAAGTCCATTGCTTCTGAGAGGAGTGGCGAGTCTGGCAGCTCTTTCTCGGAGCCCGCCATGAACGACCTCATCTCCAGCATTTTCGGCGACGAGAGCATCCTGCTTAAGTGCGACACAGGGGAGTGTCTGTACAGAAACCAGGTCCCTGGATACGAGCGACCTATCAAGAAGATCAACACGCCTTTGATCGCTGGAGTCATAGCCGCTGTCGCTCTTTTCATCGTTGCTGCGATCCTTGCCATTTGGTACCTCACCCACCGCGCAGAGAGGAACAAGTACGGTGCTATTCACCTTTCTGATGACGAGGAGGACGACAATGCCAAACTTCTCGCAGACCACAAACCGGCTGCTTTGATGTTTGAGAATGTTGGCTACAACCTCAAGGGCAAGCAGATCCTGTCAGGCATCTCTGGTGCAGTCCATCCTGGTGAGCTGCTGGCCATTATGGGAGCTTCAGGTGCCGGTAAGACCACTTTCCTGGACATCCTGGCCCGTAAGAACAAGATTGGCGCAGCCAGCGGCGACTTCTACCTGAATGGTGAGAAGATCCGTGACGAAGAGTTCAGGAATGTCATTGGCTTCGTCGACCAGGAAGACACTCTACTGCCTACGCTCACCGTTCACGAGACGATCCTCGATTCTGCCTTACTTCGTCTGCCCAAGGAAATGAGTCGCGCCTACAAGGAACAGAAGGTCGAAGACGTCGAACGTCAGCTCGGAATCTACCACATTCGCAACCAGCCGATTGGCTCTGAAGAGACCGGTCGTGGCATCTCTGGTGGAGAGAAACGCCGCGTTGGTATTGCTTGCGAACTTGTAACTTCCCCCAGCATTCTGTTCCTGGACGAACCTACCAGTGGTTTGGACGCGTTCAATGCGTTCAATGTCATCGAGTGTCTCGCCTCCTTGGTCAAGAACTACAACAGGACCGTTGTCTTTACCATCCATCAGCCGAGATCCAACATAGTTGCGCTTTTTGACCAACTGGTTCTGCTTGCAAAGGGTAGAGCTGTGTATTCTGGACCGTTTGGCAGCTGCCAGGCTTACTTCGATAATATTGGCTACACTTGCCCACCCGGTTTCAACATTGCGGACTACCTGGTCGACCTCACCATGCACGCTAGCGCCGTCCACCGTCCAATTGATGTGGACAGCTCGCTTTTCACCAGAGACGGCATCAACACCAGCGCGAGCAGTGCGATTGCAGTCAAGTCCATACCGAGTGTTACCAACATGAGCGCGAGCGAGCTAGCTACGAGCCCAGCGAACTCCAGTATCCGACCTAAGGGCAAGCGGCGGACGTCAATCAAACAGCAGCAGGAACGCGAGCTCTTCACAAGAAAGAAGAGCTCTGCTCCTGTAGACGGTACGCAGTCCCCCAAGACCGACGATGAAGGTCCCTACGATCGTCAAGAAGCTGCCAAAGCACAATGGCTAAAACTTTCACGTCAACAAGGTGCACCGCCGGCACAGATCCTCGATGATCTTGATGAGCTTCCTCCCCCTGCCGATGGTGGCACAGGAACGAACTTGGACGCCCTCATTACTGCATACGTAACATCAGACATCGCAGCTGGCATCCACGAAGACATTTCCAAGTCTGTCGCAAGCGCGAACGAAGCGAACAGTGCGAATGGTCACGCGGAAGCGAACGGTTTCATCGCAGCTGGCAAGCTCAAGGGATATCGCAAGGTTGGCCTGCTTGGTCAGTTCCTGATCTTGGCAAGACGTACCTGGCGCAACCTGTACCGCAACCCGATGCTAATGCTCACTCATTACGCTATTGCCATCGTGCTTGCAGTCTTCCTCGGCTTCCTCTTCTACGGTCTTACAGATGACATCAAGGGTTTCCAGAACCGTCTTGGTCTCTTCGTCTTCGTGCTGGCGCTCTTTGCGTTCAGCAGTCTGACCATCCTTACCGTCTTCGCTCCTGAAAGGCTTCTCTTCACGCGTGAGCGTGCTAAAGGCTACTACTCCCCACCATCGTACTTTGCGGCCAAGGTGCTCTTCGACATCATCCCGCTGCGTCTTCTGCCGCCCATCATTCTTGGCATCATCGTCTACCCGATGACAGGCCTCATCCCCGCCTGGCCCAACTTTCTGAAGTTCATCCTTTTCCTGGTCCTCTTCAACCTTTCAGCGGCCGCCATCTTCTTGTTCATTGGCACCATGTTCCGCAACTCTGGTGTGGCGAACTTGGTTGGTGTTCTTGTGATGCTCTTCAGCCTGCTCTTCTCCGGCTTCTTCTTGAACAAGGAGAGTATTCCGCCGCTTGCGAAGTGGCTGCAATCAGTGAGTCTGATGATCCCCCCTATTCACACGTGGTGCTAACAGTCTGGTAGCTGTCCATCTTCCACTACGCATTCGAAGGCCTCATCGTCAATGAGGTGAAGTATCTCTCGCTTGTCGATCACAAGTACGGCATCGACATCGAAGTTCCCGGATCAGCGATTTTGAGCTCATTCGGTTTCGACGTGATGGCGCTGTGGAAGGACTGCATTGGACTGGGTGTGTTTGCTGGCGCCTTCGTCGTCCTCGCCTACCTCGCCATGCACTTGCTGCTTGTAGAGAAGAGGTAGTGCGGTTGTATAGAGGGGACCGAGCGCTGCGCGTTTGTCTTGTTCCTTGTTTGGTTGTAGGGCGCCAGATGAGGGACCTGTTGTATGCATATGCGGTGTTTTCATTTCCAGCCATCTGACTGGACAGTATATATTTGCGGCAGTTCCATCCCATTTACAGCAAGATATTCTTTCTTGCTCCTGATTCGCAATGCAGGCACGGTGCTTGTATTGATAGAAGGGTCGAATCGGCTTCCGAGGACAGTAGGCGCCGGCCCTGCCCGCCCTGGCCGCCCCATGTACCTCAGTCGACAGCGACTCATGTCCTTGAACACAGTACCCACAACACCGCTGGCCGTCGCTGATCACCGCTATTTGTACCCCTCCACCCATCTTTAAGCACCAACGTTCACCACGGCGTTCTCTGCCCCTGCCCCTGCCCGCTCGACCTCGCCGCCGCCGCCGCCGCCGCTTCTGCGCATTGCCAGCCAAATAACGACTGCGGGCGCCGAACTTTGGAAGTACACCGATCGCCCACCGCCCGGCAGCCTCAAGCCGGCCATCGCTGGCGCCTTTGCTGTCCCCTTCCGCACTGAATCGTCGATCTCTGTGCGCAATCTTGGCGACGGCGAGGCCGTACAGCAAAGGATGGATTCTAGAAGAAACCCCAGCAGCTTCCAGCAGCTCGAGAAGCTCGGCGAGGGCACCTATGCGACGGTACACATAGACAAACACGCAGAGTACGTGCGCCCGAAACTGACGACTAGCAGGTGTTCAAGGGCCGCAACCGCCAGACGGGCGAGCTGGTGGCGCTCAAGGAGATCCACCTCGACTCGGAGGAGGGCACCCCCTCAACGGCCATCCGCGAGATCTCCCTTATGAAGGAGCTGCGCCACGAGAACATTGTCCTGTTGCACGATGTTATCCACACCGAGAACAAGCTCATGCTCGTCTTCGAGTTCATGGACAAGGACTTGAAGCGCTACATGGACTCGCGCGGCGACCGCGGCGCCCTCGACCCCCCCACCATCAAGTCGTTCATGTACCAGCTGATGCGCGGCATCGCCTTCTGCCACGACAACCGCGTCCTGCACCGCGATCTCAAGCCGCAGAACCTGTTGATCAACAACAGAGGGCAGTTGAAGCTGGCCGACTTCGGTCTCGCGCGCGCATTCGGCATCCCCGTCAACACCTTCTCCAACGAGGTCGTGACCCTCTGGTACCGTGCACCAGACGTGCTTCTGGGGAGTCGCACATACAACACAAGCATCGACATCTGGTCTGCAGGCTGCATCATGGCTGAGATGTACACTGGGCGCCCACTCTTCCCAGGCACAACAAACGAGGACCAGTTGCAGAAGATCTTCAGATTGATGGGCACACCCTCGGAGCGCTCGTGGCCAGGCATCTCGCAGTTTCCCGAGTACAAGGGCAACTTTCCCGTCTATGCAACCCAGGACCTGCGGCTCATCTTGCCACAAGTCGATCAAGTCGGGCTCAACCTACTGAACAGCATGCTCCAGCTCCGACCCGAGATGCGCGTCTCAGCAACAGCTTCGCTACAGCACCCCTGGTTCAACGACCTCCCTCAACGGCAGCAAGAGCACGCTCAGGCTATGGCAGCGGCCCAGCAGGCACAGATGGGCGGTTTCCAGCCTCAACAGTACTAGTACGACGACGTTGATGAGTGGTCGCAGCATCCACAGCGCTGGATCCCTGCCCCATGGGGTCTTCCCGCCGCCGCCCCATCTGGCTCTGCTTCGTGAGCGACGCGGAGGGCTAACCTGAATGTCAACTGTTCAGCACTCAATTTGACTTGACTGGCCACATCGGGAGCCTACTACCTTTGCACGCGAAGGTCACTGGAAGTATTGGCCCTTCCAGATCCATTTTGACGTCCAGGCTTTGCCTCTATTTACAACACTTTAAAGCCTGATATTGCACACGCATCTGGTCTAGAAGTACCAAGGCCCGAGCTCGATTGCTCGAATCGAGCTTTCTGAGTTGAAGCCACAACACGATGCAAATGTGTTGTATCGTAGCAATGGCAGGTGAGCCGATGCATTCGGCGTGCATCACATCTTGGAAATGAACACTTATTCCCATCTTCACCTCTCTCGTACCACCGCAGTGCACACCATAACGAGCTTGACAAGCTACCAGCCTCTGTTCTCTACTGTCATTCCTGTGTGCAGATTGACCGTTCGTCTAGAATCGGTCCGAAGCCGTAGACTTACGCACGCCCCTTCAATGTACCTTTGTAGACAGTAGGTGATAGGGAAGAAGAGTAATGCTAATACATACATGAACGCGAGATCTGGTTGTTGAACGTCAAGAACGCCTTACTGGCTCACAGAATGCCGGCAACTTTTTTTTTTTACCGATTACCGCTGACACTCCAATCTTCTTCGAGACGACCACAAGTTTCCTTGCTCCAGGGCACAATCTGTTCACTGTCACCCTCTCCTCTCATACACGCCCCTCTCCCTCCTCGCTCCTCTCTCTTCATACCCAGGCGGCTTAGTCGCACTCCTCTCCCTCCCCAGCCCAACCAGAACCTCACTTCCATATCCCGGCGGTCTACTCCCACTTCTCTCCCTCGCTCCTACTTTATACCTAGGAGGCGACGGGAACCCCATCTCCGCAGCACTGAACGGATAACCCCCTAGATCCGTACCAACACCACTCAACACCGGACTCCTGAGCGGACTGCTCGGCGGCGGAAGCGGTCTGTTGGCATATAGCTCCCGCTCGCCTGATACCGGCGGTAGAGGACGGTTCGCGTACTCGCTCTCAGCAAGACGGTATGATTCGTCCGTGCGCAGATGTCTGTAATCCACTCCTACATCGTTGATGCGTGGGGACTTGAATTCTCCAGCCATCACTTTCTCGTTTTCGCGGCGGCGCTCGTACTCCTGGCGTAACATGCGCGACGCGTTGTGCGACACAGAGAGCGTGTCGATTTTTTCGCTGATACGTGCGATGTCGTTCTGCATTAGTGTTGCGCCTTCAAAGTCTAGCGGGGCTGGCGGGAGCGGGCGTTGTGGCGGCGGGGTGTTGGCAGGTGTGTTTTCGGCGTTGCGTGTCTGCGTGTTGGAACGAGAGCGTTCCTGTGGTGCGACATGTCGGTCTGGAGAGCTCGTAGCTTCGAGCTCGACAGGCGCATTGCGGATAGGTGTTGGATCCCAGGCGCGCTGCCAGCACCAGGAGCGTTGTTGGCTGGCTTCGAAGAAGTCGGTTTGGCCGTTTGTTACCCATTCGGGGCAGCGCTTGAGGTCGGTGCAAAGGAAGTAGCGCACGCCTTCGGTGTGCTTGAGCCCTTGGACGTCGACGGAGAGGGTGGAGAGGACTTGCAGGATACCGTAGAGGAGGACCCAGCGGCCGAGACGGGCTTCGCGTAGTGTGATATTCTTGAGGTCGGTGGTGAGCTCGAATCGCTCGAATTTGTCAATCAATGTAGACCCTGAAAGTTTATTAGCAAACCAAAATAAAGATGAGGTGGTTCTCTTACCATTGAAGTTCACATCCAGCTTATCGATGTTCGTAGCGTCGCTAAATACAATCGATAGTTGTAGATGTGCTTTGGCATCTTTTGTCACATCTTTCGTTTTGTCCTTCTTCAGCGACGAGAAAAAGCGTTTCCTCTCTTTCTCCTTCGCAGACTTCGAGACTTCTCGTGGCAGTAACGGATAAGGATGCGGTATGTGTGCGTATCCAGCTTTTGCGTCATACATCACAAGCATGTCGGTCATACCAAGCTCCGGCAGATCTGCTTCAAACTCATCGGTCTTCCGATGTTGCATCTCCCACTTCCTGCTTGCGCGCTCTTCTCGTGGGTTCCAGTACACGTCGCGGTTCACGAGGTAGTCGTATAGAGACCCAAAGTCGTTCTGCATTGCGAGGACGGTCTTGCGATTGAGCCAGGTACTTTGTGAAGGCGGCGGCCAGGTGCCGTAGATGTGTCCATAATGGTTGACCAGGAACTGCCGGAAAGCTTGATAGCTTTGGTGAACAGGACCATTTATGAGCTTCGGATTGTCGTTCCATAGATCAGCAAAGTCGAAATTGGCCAATTTCTCCTCCGCTTCCATGACCCGGAGTTGTAAAGTCTTTGCAGCGATTCCAAGGTTCCGTCTTGTCACGATCGAAAGCCGCTTGAATTCCGAGGTTTCTTCAATCTGTGGTGTTATTGATCCGGCAAGGTGTGTGAAGCATTCCAGATACCCCTGCCACCATCTCACACTATCCTGTTCCGCCCATGCCAGAAGTGCCAATGCATGCTTGATATCATTGCGCACATTGTCGATCTCGTACTTTCCTAGATAGTTGGTGATCATTTGCACACTGCGCTCTGCCGGTGTGGTAGGTGATTGGTTGCCGGTGTCAAGATCGTACATGACTTGTATCTGCATTTGGAGGGTGCTGAGCATGTCGAACGCGTCAGCACCTACGATTGGCTTGCCATGTAGAATTGCAAGGAAGTTTCTAATGGCGACGTGATGTAGTCGTTGTGCTTGTACGGTCCTGAGCTCTGATGGGGCTGTGAACCAGATTTCATGTGTAGGGTTGCGTTGATTGTTTTGCCGAAGGAGGGTTGACGATGGTGAGCGCTCCCTGCCGATTGCCTGATTTTGCGGAGTTCGAGAGGTATCTCTGGACGCTGCTCTCGAAGAAACACGGTCTATGTCTAGCGGCGGCGGTGACATCCCACTGAGTGCAGTTGGACCAAGCATCCTCGCTTCGTGCGCGTACTGCTGTGATGGCATCATGAACTCATCAGCGGCTGTTAATGCCCAGTCATCCTCGTCTTCGTCGAGACGGCCCATCATAAGCGCATTAGTCAACCAACTTGACCCTGAGCCCTGAAGGACATCCAGTTCGGCGCGTATTGAAGGCACCGGATGATCCTCGTCCAGTTGCTCCTCCTTGAAGTAGATCAACACGCTACCATTGTGCATATCTTCATCCTATATCGCGTCAGATAAGCCCCCGAACAGAGACGTCATGTCGACTCACGAAGGCAAAGCCACCGTAGGGGCGCATCTCTTCTTTGCTACCGTCCCAGATCTTGAAGTCCAGCCAAAGCTTTCTGTGGCTTGGAAGATGTGGAGCAGGTGACTCGGTTCGAGACGGCGGAGGCGCAGGTGATGGCACGATTGTCATTTTGATTGGAACTCCTCCGCCTCGCCCTCGAGGCGCCTTCGTTTCTTTCCCGTTTGCCTGGAACTTCGTCTTCTCTTTGCCTTTGGCTGAGTGGTCTGAGACCGAAGCTGCGCCGCTTGCAGAGCTCTTTGGCGTCCTGCCATGACTTGATGATTCGTATGAGTAGACAGTGTTCAGATATTGTCGGTTGCCACTGCCGTTTGTCCCACTGCTGTGCGAAGTTCCATGACTTAGGTTGCTAACGGACCGGGAGAGTCCAGTATTTCGGGATCCGTTGCTACTCGGCGTAGCTCGCCAGTCGGCAAAGGTATCGTGTATCTCTGGAGCTTTTCCCTGTACTGCGACTTTCTTTTCTTTCTTCTGAATATCTTTCTGCTGGACTTTCCGACTGCGAGCTCCTCTTGCCGACATCTTCTACTCCAAGGTTGGCCAATGCAAATGCGCTTGGCAAGCGTGCAGGCTGGGTTCGGTACAGGTCGATCCTAGCGATCAAGGTTGAATCTTGTTGATTTGACCAGAGCGAATTGGTCAATGCATGAGGTACAGTGGTACAGGCAATAAGCACAAACTTGGTGAGGGGTCGCCGGAGGCTCGGACTGCTGTATTTTGGCCTAGCTGTACATGATGCGATTGAGGCTGCTGCAAACGGAAGGTCGAGCAAGTGAGCGTACGAATGGGTTCGAGAAGGACGTTTACGAATCGAAGAATAGAGAAAAAAAGAAGAAAGGAAGTATACACATGCAGAAACGGAAACTCAGGGGATGGAAAAAGACAGAGCGCCCGATACACCACAGCCGTAAACTCTCGAATCCATATAGGTTCTCGTTCTCGAAGACCCTGGTCCGGAGGTCCCGCCCGTCAGGTTGTGTGGAGATCAAAACGTCCCAAACGGGGTATGGTGGACCGTGTCTACGGTGTTGCTGATAAGGAACCAGCTCGTCCACCGCTTTCTTACCGTTTTGTTTTCTTTTTGACCAAGCGAATGATAGATCTTCCTCCACCAGGAGATCATGCCCTCGGCGAGATCGATGCAGTGCAACACTGAGAACGTGAGTGTCAGGTTTGAAAATCCGGAGAAGCAAGCTGCCCAGAAGAGGATGGCAGAGAAGTCCAAGCGGTGATAAGGGATGGCCGAATCGTGTGATCCTGGGCGTCAGCAATCCCATCACCCTGCAGACGAGATGAGATGTTCGGTTCATTGATGGAAGAACGGCGGTGCAGCTCGTGCCTGTGCCGCATGTGTTTTACAGGTCTTAGGAGGCTGGAACCAACAGCGTCAGCTGGTCAGTGCTGATCGACAGAAGCCCTCTGCGCGGAGTTCATCATTTCAGCTTCACTACATAAAGCTGCCAGATAATGTCGCTTTTGGAAGTGTCGCGCGATGAAGAACATGTTGACGTAGACGTTGTTGGTGTTGTTGTTGTTGTTGTTGTTAGTAAGTCGAAGAAGTTTGAAAGGACCGGTTCGACCAAGGCAGCTTCATCAACAAGGATGTCGTGGTAGGGAGGCATCCACGGCCACAGAACCTGCACCGAAATTGAACGGCGCAATTTTCGTCCAATGTCGCAACGACTGAAGTCCTTGGCCCATGTCGTCGATTCGTACACTGACGATGCAAAAAACAGGTGTAGAGGGCAGGAGGCTGGGGTGTGGCTGCTCGAAGGCTAACACCAACCTCCCCGCATTCGCTGACTATCATGTAAAAGCTCCTGACAGCCGACCCATACGTCACGCTGCTTTTCATCACGAGTCGTTCCTGCACTGCTGCGTTGTTACTCGCGACTGCACGCTCTAACAAGCTGCATCCTGGACGCTGCCTTAAAAACTTGCGCTGTCCCACGTTCTTCTGCGCGCAGCCGTCTTCCACCTTCTCTTGAAGCGTCGCACTTCCTCTTGGAGCATCGCAGCTGCTTTGGGTCTTACACAGCACTACAACGACTATTCGCGATCCACAACAAAGACTATAACAACGCCATTATTCTGCACGACTCGGCTTCGAGCAGCGACAGCGAGCAGCGAGGAACCGCCAAAATGTCGATTTCCGGGCTTTCATTCGTTTTCTGGCGCATCTTCCAGATCGTCACGCTGATTCCCACGCTGGGCATGCTCGCTTGGTTCGTCTCGTGGTACGATGACCGCAACCTGCTTACGCCGCGATCGATCCTGGTGCTCTTCATAGTCTCAGTACTAGGAGCAGCATGGGCGATGGGGACGTTATTCCTGTACTCTCGCGCACGACACTCCGCCAAATTCGTTGCTTTTATCGACCTTCTCTTCGTCGGCGCTTTCATTGGCGGTGTCTATTGTCTGCGAGGTATCACCGATGCGGACTGCTCCAACTGGTCTTCAAACGGCTCCTACAGTGCTGACCTGGGGCTTTTTAACATTTCTGGCAACCGCTACAGCCTGAACATCGACCGACAATGCGCTATGCTCAAGGCCTCGTTTGCGTTCGGCATCATGTAAGTTTGCTTGATCGTTGCAATGGAATGCATAATTGATAAACACCTAGGAACTGCATTTTTTTCTTCATCACCTGCCTATTGGCACTCCTCGTCGCCCGTCATCACCGCGACAGCCGTGACCGCGTGGTCGTTAAGCGCGAAGTTCACCGCTCCCGTCACGGCCACCACTCCCGCAGCCCACGCACCTCCCACTCGCGTCACAGCCACAGCCGTCGCAGCTACGTCTAAGGTGCTATCAAGCGTTGCATACGGCGTCGAATGAGGAGACTGCCAACGCTGGCAACGGATGTGTATAAGATAATGAATTTCCTTGGACATATTTCACTTTGAGATACCTGGTATGGCAGATTGGACACATGGATATAAGATTTGCATGGATATGCATGATGTTAGGGAAGTAAGCGTTGACGACTATATACGCGATGAGATACCACATACCCCGACTTTTCGACACTTGTAGATAACTTAATGAATCATCCCATGGGCTCCTCTACAGGACATACAGGCGGCAAGCTATGCAAAAAATCCATTGTGCATTGTACGTGTTCATCGGCAAGCACAGTCGCCGTAAACGATACAACCACTGACACATCTTTCGATTGATATTTACAACCTCCGGTAATGACATGCTGTTAATGCACAACGAATCGTCTTCCATAGTCTTAGACTCAGATAGGACGTTAAACCAATCAATCAATGCACAAAAAAAGGGACAAGGACGAAACGACAACTATAGACGAATATGGTGGTTATGCAATAAACATCTTACAGCTGCATAACCTGACAAAAGAAGTCTGCCACACGTAGAGCTGTCAAGTCATTGTCCTGTCTTCATGCACCTTGGTCTTCTTGTTATGACATGAGACGCATGGTGAGTGTGTGTCGCCTCTCTAGAGAAATCTCGAGGGTATCTGACGAGGACTTCAGTACATGGGAATGTTGTTGTTCGAACAGCTTGTCTTATGTGAGAATTTCTTTGATGCGTTCGGTGAGCGAACGCGACTCAAGTGTCGAATCTGGCGGAGGACTAGAAGCTTCGCGGAGATGAGCAAGTCTTCGTCGGCGTTATACTGCTTGCGCTTCGGTGTCAGACCAGGGTCAGAAGCATTGAGATTTTTTTTGGTCTTCTAAACTCTCGGTCGGTACTGGTAGGAGCATATTGCTTGTTGCTATGGATCTTGGTGGAGTGTTGCAGTAGATGCAATAAATGAAGGCGTAACTGCTCAGGACAGTAAGTCAGGGGGGAACCGCGTAAAGCAGTAAAATCAGTATATTGTGTTGTTATTGTCCTGTGATCTGCCTCTCATCAGGCCATCAGCAGGGTCTGTTTATATGACGTATCTAATGTGCAGCCAAGGGTAGAAAGCGCTTGTTGGAACAAGCAAGAGTACTGCACCAAAACATGTGGCACACATGGCCTCCTTACTCCATAAATCGTCCCATGGAGTTAGGGTCGAATCGAAAAGTGCGATTCCTCGGCTCGCTCTGATCATTTGGGGTATCTTGACATCTGGCTTCGAACCATCTCATCGTTCCACCCAGGTAGTGATTCTCGTACATCGCGTCATTTGTTCTGCCCAAATGCTCCTCGAACTCGCGATCGTGTGCTATGCTCAGGGCGGTATCAAAACCCTCTATTCGTTCTTTAAGCAAAAGCAGCTCTGCCTTTTCCGCTTGACATATAGTGTTCTGCCTCGACTGCACCAGTTGCATCTTATTGCGAGCTTTGTTACTCTGGGCATTCAATCGGCAAGACACCTCTACAATACATCAATAACTCTGCGAAGATCAATCGTTTCTGTTTTCGATTGTCTGAGTAAATTCTGTGTTGGGTTAGCTTTTACCGTACTTTCAATAAACGTTGACTGACTACAAGCTCTCGCTTTCGGGCCTTCATTGCTTCGACCGTGATGATAGCGTTCTGCAAGCCAGTATGATGTTCAAATGCACGCATTTCACTCTCTTTTAAGGCTCGCCGAAGATCTTGTATCTCCTCTGGTGTTGCTGCTTCGTTATGTACGATGTACAGCAACAGTCACTAGATATTGACTGTTTCACACCCTCCATCATTTGATCGCACAGATTCATCTGGAAAAGGATTTTTTTCTGAAAGCATCAATCGCGCTTCTCGGATATGTTGATATCTCCTAGGGCTTACAATCATCGACCAAGGAAGCTAAGGATCAAGCTTATCCAGGTTGAGGTGGTATGGGTAGTTGCCTATCGATCGGTCATGCTTGAAGCGCTTGAGTGTGCCTTCATGATGGAAGACTGATATCTTGAGAAGCACACAGCCGAGCAAGAAGATATCTGCTGCACGCCCAGCCGGCTCCATCTCAAAGGCGCGCACTGAGCCAACAGCTGGGTCAACCTTGAAGCCTGCAGGAGCGATGTATGAGCCAGCCAATCACACCCGCAAATGGACACGGCCTGCAAGTATCAAGGCTGGGTGGATGTAACGAGGTTCTCTGCTTCACTAGGCCGTCGAAGTCAAGCTATCGAGTGTGAACGTCGGCGATAGACCGTTAGACACTCAGGCAGCAAACATTCGATATTGCGTTGGAATTTGTCTACGTTCAGTAAGAGTTCGTGACCCTCATGTCTTTCCGTGTCTTGGAGCCCTTTTACCAATCTTGTACTGCAAAGACACAATGACATTGGTCCTTCAGCATCAAACTCCTCCCGGCCCATCTAATAACGCTGTCAGTCCTCCAATGCCCATAAAGGTTCCTACCACAGCCTTTTTCCCGTGTTCATCCGCTGTATGGTGATTTCTGTTTGAAACTTATCTCCGACGTACTAAATACAGGCTTGCCAAAGTGTATTGAACCCGCTGGATCTGGCTCGCTACTGAAGTCCTCTACATCATACAGAAGCGAAGGCTTCCAAGTGGCTGTTGATTGTCTGGCTGACAGTTGTGACAGCTTGGTAGACATCATGCAGGGCATCAAAGTTGGTAATAGCTACTCACAAACTTGTCCGCACGACTATATCATGGTGCAGATGTACTGATTGCATCACTGTTCTAAGTTCAGAGGGGGGGGGGGGGGTTCGTACATTTTGATAACCATTATACAGGAACAGTATGAGTGGATGTTTAGCCGTTGAAATGACATCTGGGCTTCATGTAGGAGCCGACATCGATGACATGTAGCCATCATTCTCAATTATTCCTCATAATGGCGGCTCCGAATTTAGTGACCAGCGAAGGTTTGCCTGTATTTCGTTCAACTAGTGGCTCTTTAGTTGTCCAATAGCCAGCAGATTATATAGGAGAGGGTGCTGGCATAGAGTGTGCATGCAGTCCCGGAAGTTTCGGTGGTGGTGGAGGAGGAGGAGGAGGAGGAGGAGGAGGGATCAACAAGTTAAAGGGACGCCTCGGTAGGGTGATTGTTTCAAAAGGTAGCAGCGGAAGTCCTGAAGCGGCTCTCGCGGAACAGAGAGATTCGCTGGAGTCGCCGAAGTCGCGGCGTGAGGAGCTAGACCACGATTGCAACACATCCTCATATGGACGAGTCGATGGCTGACCATCATCAGTCTGTCGGGAGCCTTGCTGCAAATCACTTGGGTTTGTTCGATTTCCTTGCTCTGTGAGAGCTGTCAGTATCGCCGTTCATTGCTCTGCCAAAGGAACAGCTTGCCTTTCTGTTCATAATCTCGAACGAGGTCTGCTGACTGCAGAATATCCTGTAATTCTTGATATCGTTCTTGCAAATCCTTGACGACCTTGGAATGCTCGAGTATTCTTGTCCTGAGGCTTCAAATGTCTAGACTTGTGTCTTTAGAAGGGTTTGCGCGAACTCATGTGTCAATCCTGCTTTGGTTCGGCGGTCGGTCACTTACCGTGTCCGTGCGCGTAATGCGCGGATTCGCGTAATGCGCCGAACCACCAAAATAGGTCCACCAAAAATGAGGCTGTAGAGCCACACACAATGGTTATTATCATGAGATTTTCTGGTGGAGTAGTCTATAGACCTATATGAACAAGTTCCTCACTCAAACTTTTGTGGCACTCTGATTGGGCGGCCGCGGCTGTTGTATTTTGCCGGAGGGGATGGGGAGCGAGGCGCGGCAGCAGCACGACTACGGGCAGCTGCACTACCACAATTCTGCTTCTTCCTGGGTGCTGCAACCTCTGAGGCCTTGCGCTTGCCTCTTTGGGACAATTGTATAGGTTTTTTGGTGTTGCGCTCCCTCTGTTGACGCTCTTTTTCGGCCTTGCATTCGGCAACCTCCTGAGCCTTCTCAGCCTTCCGCTGCTCACGCTCTTCCTTCTCCCTCAACTTCTGCTCACGCCTCTCCTGTGCAATCTTCTCCTTGTACAGCTTATTGGCGTGCCTCAG